GCAGACTCCCACTCTACACTACGCACACACACACACACACACACACACACACACACACACACACACACACACACACACACACACACACACACACACACACACACACACACAAACAAACTTAAAAATTAAATGTCTGCAAAAACTTAACACCACGCTCACCAATTTATCTTTCACTTTCACAAACATAACTGTGTTCCCTCTGCTTCCTGCATTTCTCAAATCATGTTCATGACTCCATGAGAACAATCACAATTGCATATTAATCACTGTGTGTCCTTTCTAAATGCAAACTCTCACTCCCCCATTCAAAGCATGTTTATGATGAGATAAGTCAGAGCAAACACCAGCATGGAGAAAAAAAAATCTTTGCCCCCATCTGTGCTTATTGTAGACTAAAATTTGTATTGGCCGAAGAGTCCACCAGTGGCAGCTCTTCTAGTGTCGGATGGTCCGTGCTATTTGATTTGGACGCAGGATTTTGGCAGCCCGGAGTTTATACAGTAAAAGAGAGTTTTGGCTGCAGCGGCCAGCAAAAGAAAATTGGATGAGTTTCCTTCTTCTCACTCATTCTCTCCCTCCTGGCACCCCGGATAATGTTGGGTTTAGTTTTCAGAGCAGGTTTTATCTTGTTTGGGGACATGTTGACTTGTGAGGCAGATAGAAGTAAGAAAAAAAGATAAGACAGGAAAGCAAAGAACATCATTAAAATAGTTTTGTGCACTAGGGCCGCTACTGCATTAATTAGAATGGCAACTTTATGCAAAATCTGAAAAGTTGAGTAATCTTTTTTGAACTACAGTTAGATATCAGAGACACTGGCTGGAGAATAAAAACTTGTTTTCGGAAAAGGTTTAAAAAAGATCTGTGTATCAAAAGCACTTTGTGTTATAGTCTTGAGACAAAGCATCTGTCGGAGGAAAACATGAGGGGTTTTTTTTGTTAAAAAAGTGAGGAAGTTTGCAATCTTACCCATGTGTCAGTACTATTAATCTCATGAGCAGCATGTATACAAAAAATATAATTATATAACCAATTTCTGGCTGGACTAGGCAAAGACAATTAACTTTTTCGCAAATGAATCAAAGTAGAAGAAAATGCAAATATAAAATAATTAATTACTTCATTAACACAACAACAGCTTAGACAGCCAATTATTATTTCTTAAACAAAATGTTCAAACTTTGACATCAAGAGCCTTGTTTCACTTTTAAACCCTTCCTTTATTGCCCACCCTTACAATTTGAAAGTTATGCTGAGAAACTAATCTACCGACGCCTTTTTAATTTACACATTGTAATGTCACCGCGCCTCATTAACTTCTTATAAGCTTTTTTCAAGACAAAAACACCCATCCAATCTTCCTTTGGGGCCACAATATTTCACTGAGTTTAGGCTTCTCCCGTGCAGCGGTCCAAGGCTGTGTAAGGTGACATTTTTGGGCCACCCTGATTAGAAACTGTGCCTGTGGAAAGGTTTAGTCACTGCTGAGACATATTATAGCCAGGAATCATTTGACATTTTTCACACTTTGGAAGGTTTGCCTAGAAACTGTGTGCTACTTTCGGCATACACTCAGGAAACAGCAGCCACAGCTTTTTCCAATTGTCCAGTTTACACAGCAGCGTTAACTGAATAGCCGCATAGCCACAAATGCAGCATCAGCTTAAACTTGGTCAACTTTTCCTCGCTGATAAATATGGAAATGAGTGAACCTTGGCTCTGAGCAGTCAGTTATTAGTGGAGACTGTTCTTCGCTGGGTTTTTCCTTTGAGTTAGAATGCAACGTTACTGAAGGATGACATATTGACACATGTTTAACTGCAGAATAATTTCTCTTATGTAAACATGTTCTGTTGTTGTTTTGCCTATGGTTATGTATTATTGTGGTGCACTCAAGCACACTTTTTTTATTTATTTATGATTGCTATTTACTATTATTATACTGCTAGTAATACATGATTTATAAAATGTCCTTTCCTTTATTTGATCTCTGTAATCTTCAAGACACAAGGCTCACCCTGAGGACATAGATTTATCTAAAGCCTAATCTGGATATCACATTTTAAAACCTTCCAATTCCCTTCTTATCCCAAAAGATATGGCATTTTTTCTAAGGGAAATGTAACAATTCCTTAGGGCTAAATCATTTTTAGAATCCTTATATACAGTAATGCTTTACCAAGCTATACAATGGTGTCCTTTTTTCAAATATAAGATCAACTATGATGCATTTGATTTTAAATGGCATTAATAAACGGCACAGTGTCGATGTAACCATTGTATTAAGTATTCACACCGTTAAGCACGGTTATCTAGACATCCCTCTCCAGCAACTTTGGGGCATGTAACAGCAAAAATTAAAAGAAGCACTTTAGTGTCAAGGCAGGATTGACTTATCTCACTTAATTTAAAAAGCTCAAGCTCCTGTGGTGCTTGGATCTTCTAAGAACATACCAATATGTAAATGTGTGACTTTCTTATGGCAGAAGACACTGCAGGCTCAGAGTCTCCCAGTCACCAGTTCAGAAAATACCTTGTACCAACAATAAGAGACGAATGGGATGACTTGAACGATAACAATTCCAACAGCATGCTCAGTTAAGACTGTACTAACTGGTGGTGTAGACAAAAATCACAATGTTGGTGGGCACGGAGAAAATCAGCTCACCAAGGCATATCATATAGCACGTTTCTGAAACATATAAGCCAAAGTAGGCCATACTGAATGCACCGAATGGGCAGAAATTAATAGAATTCTCTACAAGCAGGCGAGGCACATTTCACTGAGAGACACCTGTTTTCATATTTAATCTTTAAACCCAAAAAGGACAGAAGAAATGGTAACACTTTATTTTGATAGTCCATAGTTAACACTCTATAAGTCATCAGTTGACATTTAGTAGCATGTCAACAGTGCATCAGTTGACATGTGTCAGTTGACATTCAACAGCACCGTTCAAACCGGCAAGTAACTAAGCATTAGTTGATGATCAACAGATAAGCAACTAAGGTTCAGTTGACTATTACATTAAGCATTAGTTGATGATCAACAGATAAGCAACTTTAGAGTTTAGTTGACTATCTGTTGATCGTCAACTAATCTAGAGTTGACTATTAGTATACTTTTAGTAGGTTCTCCACTAAGCGTTTGTAGGCATGTGTTAGGACTATCCAATAGAGAACCGCAGTGACGCGTTGTAAAACCCGGAAGTAAGTTAGCATTTTTAGCACTTCCGGTTCCTTCCTCAAAAAGCAATGCATTTTTTCCATAGGGTTTTGGAAAATAGCTCGAAATAAGGTCTGTGTTTGACACAAATTTAAGAGATAAATCACGTTTTGTTCTACTACATTAAATACATCAGCAGTGACCCCACTGGGGATTTTTGAAGAGTTTACGTGTCTGAAAAACGATGGTTGTTACCGAGTGGCTGAATAGGACTANTACCCTTTACCTAAGCCGGGGCGGCGCGACAGGACACGTGCACACTGGATGTCATGGAAGGTTTGTAACCACACTGCAACACTTCAGAAGCTATCTGGGATTTTTAGTACTTGACAGCAGAATGACAGACAATAGCACTGCTCACTGTAAAAGGAAGAGATGTTCTTGGCTAAAAGAAAATCATACCCCAGCTTCGTCACTTTTAAGAAATTATCAGGAAAGCACTCCAGGCTGCTTTGTTTGGGACACAATGCTGTGTGGTTTGGAGAGGAAGGGTGAGTGGTGGCTGTAGGAGAAAAAAAAAAAAAATCAATGGTGTATACAATGTGTGAATTGAGAATAACCTTTTAATATTAATCCTATTTTAATTGGGCTGCATTGCAACATACTTGTAATTAACAAGGATATATCCCTGGATAGCATGTCACAGCAATTAAACCACCTCTCATTCCTGTCTAATTAATACACCAGGACATGACTCCACACTGGGGACTTAATTGGATAAAATCACTTATGGGTGCATGCAGGCCTCGTCAATTTTTTTAGTATTCTTGCATGCTAGAATCCACTTCAAGACACTGGTACTTGCGTCACCATGCTGCGAATGGATCTGGCCCCCTTCCCTACATCCAGGACATGGTTAAACCGTACACCCCAGCACGTGCAGTCCGCTCTGCATCAGCCAAACAGCTCGCTACACCCGCACTGCGAGGGGGACCCAAGTTCCCATCAGCAAAAACTCGTGGGTTTGCTATCCTGGCTCCAAAATGGTGGAATGAGCTTCCCAGTGAAATCAGGACAGCAGATAGCTTGCACATCTTCCGGCGCAGACTGAAAACTCATCTCTTTCGACTCCACTTCGAGCGATTTAATTACTAACAAAGCACTTATATACTAATAAAGGGCTGGCTTATCTAAAGCCAGTTGAGTAGCACTTGACATGTTTGGCTCTATGAAACCTGATTTACTTATGATTCTGTTTTCTTCAAGGTTGTATCTTCCTGGTCGAATGCACTTATTGTAAGTCGCTTTGGATAAAAGCGTCAGCTAAATGCAATGTAATGTAATGTAATGGTTAGCAACTGCCAACTACCAACTGAACGTGTCTGTCTCGTGGGGAAAACACCCGCTATACTCCTGGTGGGTCAGCCTCGGATGGCTGGGAGGATAAGTAGAGTCAAGTTGCTTACTTCTTATTTCCAACTATTTACTAAAGTAAAAACTATGAAAGAAAAAAAAGATTGATGCGTTATTGACGAGGCCCCTTTTGTTCTCTGGACTGGGGCAATCGTTAGATATTTCAGCAACACAATACAAATACATCTTTGACACAACATCAACACTGTAACCTCTCCATATTCAGTTGATAGTGTTTAGATTATTTTTGGAAAAATATAATGCTGCCCATATGTTACACATTGCATCCATAAGAAAAATGTAGCAAATGTAATTGCACAGCAGTATTCTCAGTTGATGTGTTTTAACATCTCCAAGGAGACATAAAAAAGCAATCAAAAAGACGTGGTTATATTTTTTCTGTCTCTTTTCCTTTTTCAGACTTGCAACATGTCTGACTTTGAGGATTTCAGTAGGCAAGCAGGGCAGACTAATGTCTCTGACAGCTACCAGCTGAATCCCACCAGCGTGATCGTGTCTGTGGTCTTCTCCCTCATCTTCCTGCTGGGCACCATCGGCAACAGTCTGGTGCTGGCTGTGCTGCTGCGGAGCGGGCAGCTGGGATACAACACAACCAATCTGTTCATACTCAACCTGAGCGTGGCCGACTTCTTCTTCATCATCTTCTGCGTTCCTTTTCAAGCCACCATCTACTCTCTGGAGGGCTGGGTGTTCGGATCCTTCATGTGCAAAGTGGTGCACTTCTTCATCAACCTCACCATGTACGCCAGCAGCTTCACACTCGCTGCTGTCTCTGTTGACAGGTACGTTAGTTATTATCCTCAGAAGAGAAGGTATTTAATTGTTGTAACAACAAATTACTTTTTAAAGATAATGGTGACCTAACTACCAAGCTCATGTGTGCCATTTGAAACCATAATTGCTTTTAGAATGTCTTTTAGATAATTATTATAATCACATGTTGTTCCTGGTTCATTTCCCATGGTGCCCTTTGCTTCCTGTTTGTTGCAACTAGATGAATGATTCTTTTGATGATTAATCTATAAGTCAGTCATTTTTACAATTAACAAAACTAATTGTTTTGACATTTTCACTTGATAAATTGCAACTCTTATTCAATTATCATAGTGAAATGTAGTTTGTACTCACTTTGGTATCTCTATTTTCCTTTGCTTGTAACGTCTCAGAAATGCACATTGAGAGGCAAGTATCAGCTGTTAAAAGGTAAAATCTGTGAAAATATCATTATAGCAACCATTAAAGGTCTAAATTCACTAATTCATGCATACCCGTAGACTAATTTCTCTTCCCTTTAATTAACTCTAATTAATATTGCCTTTCATTCGGCCATATTTAAAGCTTTCAGGGTTATGCGTTTTGCTGCAGCAAAGGAATTCTTCTGTCCTCCACATAAAGGTGAAAGAGAACGGATTCATTAATTATTTAAAAATTCAAGCGCGCATTTTATCGATTTGAAGGACTGAAAACATCTATGCTAAAAGCAGTGCCAAAGCTGTTATACATGTTGATGGACGGCACTTTACAATAATAAGGTTACAAAATTATAACTTAAGTAACTGTCAGCTAATGCCTGACTCATGATATTTTACATACTGTGCAGAGATGCATCTATTTAAACAGCCTCTTTGGAAGCAAAACTGTACCTATATGTTCTCATTGAAATTAATTAAAATCTGCGACAGTCCTAGTCATTCATCAGAAATAGAAATGAATTAACACATGAATTAAGATAAATTGTAAAAAAGTGCACAAGGGCTTATATTATAAACGTAGTATGATGACCATGCTCATGCTCTAAACGGTCTTGTATATATTTTTGCAGTAATTTTGTTACACAGATGTATTGCTCCATTTATCAATGTTTCACCTCTCTAGAATTTATTCTAAAAGATTTCTCCAAAATACCACATTTAAACACCTACAGTAGAGGAATGCCAGATAATATCTCATGAAGACCAGAGAATAACTCATGCTGTGATTTGGTGTCAAAAACCTTTTAATGGTTGAGATTTTTGTTAGAATTGTATGTTTTGACGAGCATTCTTGTTCTGGAAACTGATCAGAAACACCCTTATTGTCAGTATATCTAGGGAAGTCCTTCATCAAGAATCTGAATCGTCTTAAATTCCTCACTCTGTAGTTTTTGATTATCCTAGAGCTTTTAATTTTAGGCTATAGTGCAGTCAGTTTGCAATAAATGGCCTCACTGCAATGAAATGGCTACTATGGAAACTAGCATCACCACCAAAGAATAAGATGAAAACAAATATTAAGATCACTTAAGAGTTTTACTTATGCACCAGCACTTACAACGATATTGCTTGTTGAAGGTAAATATGTCAGTACTGTTGTTGTTGTTGTCCTTAGTTTGAATCTTTATGGTTTATTGCACTTATTGTAAGTTGCTTTGGATAAAACCCAGTTAAATGCTATGTAATGTAATGATTAAATGCACAAGGCTCCTGCTTGGCCAGTTATACTGAATTCATCAAAAAATGTATAGGGAACCCAGCATGCAGAAATATATTCAACAAGAATAGGCTTAACACATTTGTACTGTATGCCAAAAACTGCAGAGTGTTGCCCAATCTGAAAGGGATTAGCATAAAGTATGCATGACTTTAAAATGGAGCCTTGTGGATAGCACCTTTTCTCATTCAGATTTGAAGTGACAGGTCAAAGCACCCCTGTAAATACGGCCATGCCCTTTTTTCGCCTTCAGAATCTAGCTTAACTGTAGAGCGTTGTCTATTTATTGTTTATCTAGCATTGCATGGTACCTATGGATTATGTAGGTTTTTTGGTTTCATATGATTCCAGTAACTTCACTATAGCTTTAAAACAGAGCCTGCTACAACATCTGAAAGACAGAATATCAGCTCAGCCAAGGTTATACTCAGCAGAAGCACCCACTAAACTTTCAATTTGTAACAAGAAGGGCTCACCTTTACTTATTCATTACTTCATACATGAGATTACCATGACCTGCCTTACCTCTTTCCCCTCGAGTTCACAATAATCAAGAAAATCTGCAAGGAAGCTTTTATTCAAGTCCCCGCTCTGTTTATTCAAGCTATGACTATACGTCACACATTTTATTTGTCTCATCTGAAGATGAAAAACAACCTTGGGAACATTGAGAACAGCAAGACCCCGGAGGTAGAACAATTCAGAGACCCATAAGACCTTACAGAGGCGCTGCATCTCTAATTGGCCATCTTATGAGAGAATCATGCATTATCCTTCCTGAAAACTACATCCCTTGCAGAGTAAATGCTAAGCCCTCATTATAGTTTTTGGAAAACATTGTCAGCTCAGTCAATATGGACAGAGTCAGTGTGCAGCTGCCCTCTGCTCACACTGGCTGTGTTTGAGGATGCAATGGATTTTTCAGGATGCCAGCTAGACCCAGTCCGGAAAAAAGCAAGGACATCTGAGTAGAGATGTGAATACATTTCCGCTATTTCCTCCTTTTTTACTGTGTAAAAAGTAAAAAGGCAGCAGCAGGTACACTGTTCATCAGGTAACCTCAGCAGGAATTAAATCACAGAGTGAAAAGCAGCACACACACACACACACACACACACACACACACACACACACACACACACACACACACACACACACACACATTCAGACACACTCAGTCTTTTAATGGAAGCTATTTGCTGCTGCAATGAGCCTGCAGGCAAGGTCAAACGATTTACTGTGATTTTATGCCAGTTCCCATGCGAAAATGATTCAATAAAATATTAAAAACATTGCTGTTATTTTTTAACTAATTAGGGGGTTTATTTGCACTAAAACTAAATTATGTAAGGTAACAGTAAAACAGCCAGAGATAACAGGATATAATGATTTATATTTGTGCAAAAATGCTTACAATTTAAAAATCATCTTCAGAGATAATTGTTTACACTTTGTTTAAAGTGTAAGCAATATATTTTGTTTGCATCATAAGGCAACATTGCATAATACCCTCAACATTTCTTTTTTTTTTTTAAACTACAGTTCTGCACCTCCTGTTGACTCTGTTTTCAGCCTTTAGGAAAGACATGTAAAAGGAAAAATCTAGCTGATCACAGGTCATTTTTAGAAAGGGAGGCTTTTTTATTGACTGTTCCAAAAATGCAGCGCACGCACATCCTTTCAGACGGTGAAATTCTGATTCAACAAGGGAAATATCACCCAGGAAGAGTTACTACTTACAGCTTGGGCAAAAACTCCCAACCAATGCAAAGCAACCCAAAGTAAGAGACAGACTTCGGTGAAGTGTTTCAGAGATGCAGAGAAATTGTCACTTATAATTTGGCTTCGAGTTGAGCGACATACCCAGGGTACCACTTGAATTACAATATGCTGAAAGGCTATTATGGCTTTTTTGCCCAATAATGGCAAATAAAGTGCCTCTTCAGACAATTGATAAAGACAAGGTAGAAGTAAACTAAATTAGTTAGGGGAGGATAGAAAGAAAAGATAGTCCATTTGTGAGCTATTATGCATAATATCCTGAAGTTCATGTCTATGTGCCTGCACTTTTTAAAGGGGGATACTTTGAAATTCCATTTCACCGAAAAAGTGGTGATTCAGAATCTTGTTCAACACATTCCCATTCTGCATCTTGTCAGACATTAACAGACAGATCATTTGCTCATGTTTTCTCATTAATCTGTCAATTTCATCCAAGCTTCCAGATAAATGTACCCACAGTTGTGGACCTCATTAGGGACAAGTAGGTTCACTGATCTGCTTTGGTCCTTTCATGTTGGACGTGGAGTGCTTGGCCCCATTTCAGTAAGCTTTCAGAGACCAGAGAGGTTGTTGCCTCTTATTCTGGAGAGCTATGGCTGAAGTGTACTGCAAAAGCACATGGAGGAGGAGATTTATTTTCACGTGACCTGCCTCTCAGAAATAAAGAATCCACAATATTCCCTGTGTTGAATATGGCAAATACAGTTTTACAAGTTCACAGAGTAACATATCAGGTGACGATGAGTCAAAAACGTTGCCAATCAGTGCGGTGACAGACTATTGAAAGACTTCTCTGCCAGGAAAACATCAGGCTCTTTCTTCATGATAGTACATGATGGATGGTGGGATTATCGTCGACCTGCTGAGCCACATCTAGACACAGCACAACGCATGGTTTGTGCTTTTGTCATGGCTATACCAAGGGATGTCTGTGCAATCAGATTAGACCTTTCTGTAGATATAACAGCCAGTATCGCATATTTCCCTAAGGTGGATTTTATTCAATAAAACCCACAAACGGCTGAATGATCATTAGCTAACACAAAAGCCTCAGTGTGAGCAAGAGGGCTCGTAACACTGAGTGTGGAGGAAGATTGTGAGGTCGCTCACTCACATTTAAGTCATAACATGCAAGGTGAAACTCTAAAACAAGCCCTAATGTATTGTACATTTACTTTAGATTTGGAGTGGACACCAAGAAAAATCTCTTTGTTAATCACAATGCATGAAAGCACATTTTGTTGGGTTGCACTATGAGTTTTAAATTGGTCTAATGACTCCCACTGCATGGTCTAAGATGAACTAAACAAAAACATATCTCATAAATCAACAAAGATGTTTGCCCCCCAGAACACCTAATTACTTCTTCTGAGATTTTAGTTTTATTGAGGCGTTACAGAAAGATGGGCACCTGCCGATTTGATAAGAGTCTCTAATTAAAAAACGCATTAGACTCTTTCAGCCTGTAGTTTTCCCACTGGCTCAGAATGTCCGCTAATTATCAGCTTCATGTGCTTCAATCCCACTTCAATGTATATTTTTTTACCTCTTTGTAGGTATCTGGCCATTCGTTACCCGCTGCGCTCCAGAGAGCTGCGGACCCCGTGTAACGCAGTGGTTGCCATGGTGATCATCTGGGGTCTTTCTCTGGTCTTCGCGGGTCCGTATCTGAGCTACTACGACCTGATCGATTACGCCAACAGCACTGTGTGCATCCCTGGCTGGGAGGAGCAGAACAGGAAGTTGCTGGACACGTGCACGTTCCTGGTCGGCTACGTCATTCCCGTGCTCATCGTGAGTCTCTCGTACACTCGGACCATCAAGTACCTGTGGACGGCCGTGGACCCGCTGGACGGCATGTCGGAATCCAAGAGGGCCAAACGCAAAGTCACAAAAATGATCATCATCGTCACGGTGCTTTTCTGCATCTGCTGGCTGCCGTACCACGTGGTGATCCTGTGCTACCTGTACGGAGACTTCCCTTTCAACCAGACCACGTACGCCTTCAGGATCCTCTCCCACTGCATGGCCTACGCTAACTCCTGTGTCAACCCCATCGTGTACGCTCTTGTGTCCAAGCACTTTCGCAAAGGCTTTAAGAAAGTGTTCAGCTGCATCCTCAGTAAAAAAGGCAGAAACAAGGTCCACGTGGTTCACGTCGCCAACACCGTGCCCGGGTTTGAAGCCGGCTCCACGGAGGTGTCGCAGATGAACGAGGAGCACGTGCGACAGAATGAATGTGAAATGATAAACAGGCCTCTCCCAGAGCCCAGAGAAGCCACGGTAACACTGAATCTGCCCTTTCAGCGACAGACTTAACAAGTGATTCAGCTTTCCTGACGGGCTGAATACAGATTGCCTTATGTGAAAGACGTCGCAGCTGATATTCTCGAGAAAAAGTGCTAGCTTCTCATCACGACATTCACAGTTCTGGTAGCAAACAGAAGATGAGATTAAAAGAACATATTGTATTATTCTTAAAGGGGGCATATCGTGACTTTTTCAGTGACAACAATGTGGTGATCTGCAGTGCCTACCAACCCACAAACTGTGAAATAGGACAACCCAGTCAGTATTTTGGGGGCTCAAGAACCATTCAGAATAGGCTCCCCTTCCTGTGTCACATTAGAATGTATCTACACGCCCATTGCTTGAGAACTACTTTTGCTGTTTTTTACGTGTTAGTTTAACATTAAGGCATTTTAATACATGTTAAACCTCTGTGAGCATGACATGTCCCCTTTAAGTACTACCAAAAATCTGTTTCTTTCATCATCTTTTGTACTTACCACTGTAGCATGTCCCCCTAGAGCAGATACAAACTCATAAAAGTATTTATTAAAGTGGAAACTTCTCAGTATTTCCTACTGCCTTAACCATGGCCTGCTGCTGGGTGTTTCTGTCAGTATGAGAATCTTCATTATTCCAGCACTTTTAAGAGCAGTGCAGAATGTGTCTCATAAGGTTACAGTTATGTTTCACCTTTTCAAATGGTCCCAAAGATTTTCAAAGCTTGGCGACTGTGAAGGAAAATTAATGTTAGCCAGCACCATTTACTTTTGGTTTGACTTAAACGGGGTTTGATGCGAGTTCAGGGTCATTGACTATGTTTACATGCACAAAATATTCAGGTTTTGACCCTTATTCTGAAAATGAACTTTTTCTTACTTCCTACCACATGATTACACAGCTAACCAAAATGAATATTCCCTAATATTATCCGCACAACACAGGCTCCATCTGTCATCCCTGCAATCAAGTTCTTCAAATGGTCAGCTTTTTTTCAGCATTTCCAAAAACCTAATGACATTAAAGTCTTTCTAAATGTTCAGAACTATGAATCATTCTCCTAATGTTGGCAGAAATTGGGGCTCTTCTTACTTTAAGCATGCATCTGCTGTTGTTTGTCCTTAAGTTCCAGAGTCCTAACCTGGAAATAGCATTGTACCACTTTCGGTTCCCTCGTCTCCAAGTCAAAGTTTTTTTTAAATGTGTTTGTGGTTAGAAGCTTGACATAGGGTCTTTGACACAATCTGAAAATATGTTTTAAATGTTGTTCTCAGACATAAAATACGTCAGTAAATACTCAACTTGTGAATGTTCAAATCTTCTTAGTGTCTTGCAGTTACTGAAAAAGACTACAAAGCGTCATCACTCCGACACAAAAGCGCCTTTAGCTTAGCAGTGGTGATGTGCAGCCAGGTGACCATAATGCGGTAGACCTACAGTTAGCTTTTTACTTCTGGCAATCGTATTTACATTTCATAAATTATAAATTATAAATATGTGGAGATTATCCTGCTGAACAAAATGTGATAATTATCATAAACATGTGTTTGACACAGAGCTGTTTTTCTTCAATATTCGGAAATCCAACCGTAAAATCCCACTTTTTGTCAAGGGTTCCCTTTGCGTTGCTAACTTTGGGGTCGGCCTACAAAAGTACAATACAATACCCTAAGTGAGGCGCGTATTTCAAATCCACACAAAAAGGGTCTTAAATGTGAATATTATTGGGATATCCTACTTGATCGGAAAATGCTCGATTGGAATAAAGCTTTAATCGAAATACCCACAAGGAACCGCATCACATTTGGAATATTGTCATATATCGTCATATTCTGAATACTTGTGGATGTAAACATTGTCAAGTGTGAAGGAATAGTATTCCTCTGCAAAGTGGTGCTTCTCCCCACTGATGTAAAGTGTACACGTTTTATCTCTTATGTGATCTTTTCCTCACATAAGCTCAGCTGCAACTGTAATCTTCTGAAAGATCTAAAGTCTGACTTTGACTAGTTTTGAAAGTGCTAGTCTTTTATCAAGATGTATTTTGTCTAACTGGAGCTGATGTTATTTGGTTTTTGTTCAATCTTGCATGCAGATGCTGTTCTGTATAAGATGTTACTGGTATATTTGAATTATATATGTTAATACGTGCAAACAAGATATTCAGTTATACTTCAATCTGAGCATTTAAAACACATCTTATTGGAATGTATACAAGAAGTTCAAAAATCAGGTGTTGAATACTTTTAGTAAAAATATTAAATATTTGATAAGTAATTAACCTCAGCAGAATAACTTTTGGACCCTAAAATGTACTTGTATTTTGCAATGATTGTATTCATGGCATGTTTCTCTTGTGTAAAGTATATTTAAATGAACATGTTTATCAATGAGTGTACTTTAACATGTAACAGTTTTGTGTTTGAAAATATTTGTATTTTGTGAATATAAAAGCTGTGAGATGATCATCATTTACATGCTTTCATCTCCTTATGCCAGCAGATCTGTGTTTTTCTCTCTCTGTGTTTTCCTGTAAGCTTGTGTCCTACCTCAGAGCAGTGAAAATAAAAATCTCTTGTCTTCTTGTTATTTTCTGTTCAGATGCAATTTTTTTCTGAGGTTCTAATTTCCGAGCAAATCATCCTCTTTTGCACTGACCTATTTTCCTTGAGTTAGTTTTCTGTGATTTTGGCTGTTGCATCTTACAGAGCATGTTTATTTCTTTTTTAACTCAACACCCTGTAGATTTTACTCAGAAATATATATTTATCAAAAGCAAAATGTAATACATGTTTAAATGATAAAATAAAGATATTTTCAGCTGTGAAATGTACTGATGGCTTTATTCAATTCATAATATGCACATTGTATTTATTATGTTTATTGGTTATACACACTGCATCAAATCCAGATATTGAAAAAAGAATAAATATGTCTGAGGAAAGGGAAATGTACTTCCCATTTGCTCAAAGAGAAAAACAAATGGCAACAAAAGCGGATTAATAAAACGATGGTATTATTTAGAGATATAAACCAAAGATAATGCGAAAGAGCATACAATAAGCACAAGAACTTACCAAACAATAGACCCATAATCTTAAAGAATTTTTAATAAAAAACGGTTTTAATATAATAAATACACAGGGAAGAAGGAGAACAATTGTTAGCAGTAGAAATCTTATTTCCCAGGCTCCCTCCAACAATGCTCATTAAAATGTAAAAAAATCTATACAAGAATTTAGTTTTTTTTGTCCGAGTTGGGTTTATCTATGGTAGTAAAGGTAGTGTAGAATCACAAAGTATATTTACTGTGTATGAAAATACAGGACAATGGTCTGTATTGTTCAGAAGGACAGGAAATACTCATTTTCTTCTCCCTGCCTTCTGCTGATATATGTTTTTAGCTGCTGTTTGCTGCTGGATTGATTATAAAAGCCGGGCAGAGCACAGATCCCCCGAGAGCAGAGAGAGGTGAGAGCAGCATATATAGGAAGGCACTAATGAATAAACTAAGCTTGTCAGAGAAGCACACTAAATTAGCCCTATATAAGCATTTTCAAACGTCTATATACTTTCTGTTGTCACTGTAGGGCCAACAAAAGAGTAAAATGGTCCACAACCTGTGATAATGTATAAAAGATTGCACAATAACAATACGGTTATACACAATACAGACATGTGCTGGTTGACCTCTTTTTGGTCAGTTTTACAAGTAAAACGTTGACTTTCATTTCACATAACTGTAATAGGTTAGTTGAAAGCAATAATATTAAGTTGAACCTAATACTTTTCATTTAAACTTAATATTATTGCTTAGAACTACAGCTATGTGAAATTTGCTGACATATTACATTTAACTAAAGTCAATGTTTCAGTGTTTTCAGTGTTTTCAGTGCAGAGAGACACTGCAGCAATCCATGAGAGATAAGAAGCTGCACCAGTAGCATGTGTTATTCATCAGTGTGTTAATAAAATGATTTTTCTGAAAGCATGTTGTAATTCCTCTCACACATTGTCACACGTGTAATGTGGAGTCTGGAGTGTTGAGTGCATCTTTCAACACCTGGTCTCTTCTGCAAACCAAGTGTTTAATCCTCTGGTCTGCACAGCAGCCGGGGGGGCAAGTGGGCGGCAGGGGTTAGAAATGTGTGGTTCCTGCCTCTAAAATATATTCAGCCATAGTTTACCATTTCCGATTTTTTACGGAGGCGTGTGGTGCAGTGGGTTGTGCGTTGGTGTTCGGATCAGGGGATCACAGGTTCAAACCCCACTGCAAGACACTTCGCCCGAATTGCTCCTGTGGGGATTGTCCAGTATTGAGTATATAAGTAGCTTTGGATAAAATAGTCTAACAAGTAACATGTAATGGGCTTGGGATCTTGCTAATTGCGCTCTTTACAACGAAAGACAACATAACACATTTCAAGTAAATGACGGTGCTATTGGCTACAGAACTAAATTGTTATGTAAAAGCTGAAAGCTGGTTGAGCAAAGAGGGAGGGAAATCGTCTCAGCACAGCACAGACCAATCAATGAAAACACTCCTCATGAGTTTAAAAAATGGGTTGTATAAGTCTCTTAAATCTAATATGGCATGAATGAGCCATTTCATGGGCTTGGGATCTCACTAATTGCGACCTTTTCTACAACGACAGACAACATAAACACATTTCAAGTAAATTAGGTGCAATTGGCTATGGAACAAAATGATTGTGTAAACGTTCAGAGGTGGAGCTGAGAGGGAGGGCAATCAGCTCAGCACAGTAGACCAATCAATGAAAACGCTCCTCATGAACTAGTGTTTTTCAGTTGCTTAGACACATTTCTGATATATAATTGCACACACTTGGAGCAATCATTCAACATCATCATTCAATTTTCACAAAGATGTATTGAAGGAGAATTACAGGAAGCACCAGGAATATAATAATAATACATGTATGTAGATTTTTCCTGGTGCTCAAAGCGCTTGGGTTTTAACTTCCTGTCACCTGAGAGGGCATGGCCTAGTCTAGTGTTTATTTTGATGAGTGCTTGAAGGCTTTAACTGGATGCATCACTTCTTAATTTGAAGATATTTGTACCTAAACATTACATTTTTATGTGAGAGCAACAACTGTATATACCATTATAAGTACATTTGATCTCTCTAATCCATTGTACATTGTAACCACCTGAAAAGCAACTCAGGCACTTCCTCTTTGACTTGTTTTGAATCTTTGAATATGTTTTTATTTATTATAGATGTCATTATTTCGTTTTGTATTTATCAATTTTATTTTTGTTTTCCTTTTTCTTGGAATTAATGATTATTTCTATATTTCATATTTCTATATGTTTAACTTTTTTGTCTTTTACTGTGACGTACTTTGTGATGCCAGGTGTGGAAAAAGCTAAATCCATACATTTCAATTACTTTGGCTGATGCAAGACGTCAAAGTTTTGGTGAGTAACCCTATTGCATACAAATCTCAGTGACAGTAAGTGAGTTACAACTAGCAAAAAAAGACAACGACAAGAAAAGAACATTTAAAACTGCTGCTTGCGAAATAAAAGACAATATCCATTCGTATGTTCAGGTTATTTTTCTCATAATCATGAAACAACTGAGGTAATCCTTGCCTGATCTTTGTGACGGTTGATTCAGGATTTATATTTAATTGAAGAAGTGATCTTAAGATAATGATTCCGTATTTCATGGACCCTTCAGCCTTCTTTGGTTCAGACACAGAGGACATAAAGGATGCAATGACCCGCACTAACAACATCTCCCTTATCAGAGAAGTTAGATGCTGCTGCCGGGGGAACAAAGCTTTTACGGAAACATGTTTTCACTTAGATGACTGAAGGGGAGGTCAGAGTGGGCGACCTCTTTTTCAATGTAAATGCGTTGTGTATTGTCGCTCGGAGAGTAGGCCTGTTGGTTAGCGTTGATGGATGGAAATGAACACTTTGACAGAATCCATTTAATTGCTGTTCAAGCAATGCTGCAACAATCATCTAGTATGATAGCAAAGAATAATACAAACAATCTGTCCTCAGCTTTTGCAATTAAGCACCAAGAGGAAATTAGATTCCTATATTTATTTCAATTTGTTTTACACAATGTGACATGTGTGTCCGTAAATATAGTGGTAATGATGTGATGAATGAGAGTGATCCTACAGAAGCCCAGAGAAGAGGGAAAGATAATAACGGAAGCTCACAAGTTCAATACCTTAAACTAAGGAAGCAATCTCTGCCCCCTCAGGACGGCTGAAGATGCTATTGAAGCTGTAGATAGAAGTTATTGTTTTTTAGGACATGAGTCAGCAGTGGAGTTGAAATGTGGTACTTAGATGTTCTCTAAGTTTCTCTGTGTGAAAACGAAACACATCTCTGCTAAGCTTAGCAAGTATATCCAAAACATGAATGTAAAAATGCAGTGTGTTTTGTGTACATGTAAATGGACTGCATAGGCTAAAATCCCAAATGGCTCTCCCACACACCCACTGCCTCAAAAGCCTTAATGTCACTCCTTTGTTTACTCCCCGTAACATAGTGACATCACTATAGGCGCGTACACACCAAGTACTTTTCCCACAAAGGTTCCTGAGAACTCTTTACTTCTCATGAACTAAGTACAGATCGCGTTCACACCGGAAATTAGTTCCTGGGGGTGGATTAGGCAAATGAAGCCGCTGACGTCACTTCTTCTTCTTCTGCTTTGGGTTTACTGGAAGGCCGCAAACAACTTCACGGCGTATATAGCCGCCCAAAATCCCCGGCCGGAAGTCCTCGCCGGAGTTAGGGACTAGTGATGGGATTTATGGCTCTTTGAAGGGAGCCGGATCTTATGGCTCCGTTCCTTTCAAAGAGCCGTTCAAAAGAGTCGTTCAAAAGAGCCGTTTTTTAAAAGGGGGCGGGGTTACTAGGTTTATCTGCGAAATAATCACCAGGATAATGATTGACTGTATTGCCAGACCTAATGTCAATAATCTGCATTGTAAACATGACAAAAGGTGGCGCCATATTCATGTCAGTGAATGTATTTTGAATGTAGCCTCCAGCATCCAACTGCGTTTTCGCGTTTGGCTCATTTTCCATCCGAAAAACACGTTGTCTACCTGTCCTGTACCACTTATTATGACTTCTCTCTCTCGCGTATTCCGTTAAGACCCACCCCATCTCACTCCTCGTGCTGAAACCTGGTGTTCACTCTCTGTCCTAAANCTACTGCTTAACAAAACAAAATGTTATACCATGGTCTTTGGTACCAGGCAGAAGCTCAAATCCAAACCTAATGTAGTAATAACATGTAAGGATGGCACTTCTCTGAATAAAGTTGATAGCTTTAAATATCTTGGTGTAAGGCTAGACTCTGAACTTTCATTTAAACTACATATAAAGCATGTAATACAACAAGTCTATTACGGAATCGGTGTCTTACAACGCTCTCGCAATTGTTTTACGCTCAGTGTCCGAAAGAGAATTGCTTCTCAACTTATTCTTCCGATTATGGACTATTGTGATGTTGTCTACCAAAATGCACATAAATCTGATCTTGTTCCACTCAACATAGCCTACAATAGACTATGCAGATTTGTTCTTGGTTGTCCTTTTCGTACACATCACTGCACAATGTATAACCAGCTTAAATGGCCTTCTTTAAATGTAAGAAGACACACGCATTGGCTTCAGCATATTTAAATGCATTTATCTTAACTATCCCCCTTATTTAAAGCAGTATTTCGTACCCTACTCGTCAAATCATCAAGTTAGACATTCTGTTCAGATTTATTTCTCTGTCCCCTCTGCAAAAAAATTGATTGGCAGAAGAGCGTTCATTTTCAAAGCCCCAACTGATTGGAATACTTTACCTGCTGCTATTAGATCTCTTGCATCATTGGGTATATTTAAACATGCATTGTTTTCTCACTTTCAACTGGTCTGTACTTGTTATTAATGAAACTGATATTGATGAAAATGATTTGCTCGACTGTCTCAAATTGTAATGATTGTGTGCATTGCTTGAATTTCACTTAACAGACTGTATGTGGTTTGTCTTGTGTGTCATGTTTTGCATTTTATCTTTTTGTTTATGTATGTCTGTAAGTTGTTGCTATTGTCGGGACCCCCTTGAAAACGAGACGATGCATCTCAAGGGGTTTATCCCAATGAATAAACATTTCTATATATATTCAGCTAGACATAACAGACAATTCTGTAGCAAAAGCAAATATTTCTGTTTAAACACATTTACAATGTTGTCATTCAAGGTGAAAGAAAATCAAGCCATTTTGAGCATATGACTCACCACCCGATGACAAAGTGTCTTTTCATTTTGCTGGCAGTTGCCAATTTACTGACACAATAACCATGTTTTGAATCATGGACAAAGCTAAATGCAGATGTCCTCCCTCTATCTGGCTTCTAGCCTTTGTTAGTCATGCAATATTTGACCATGAGAGTAAAGTAGCTTACATAAAGTACTTTTGCGTGCTCAGTGAGATCAATACCTGACATTTTGATGCCTCAACACACATTTCATTAGTTCACACTCAGAAGAAAATCAATATTACCTCAATATAAAAACGTTAAGTTTTTGTCCTTGCACATGACTTTGCAGTTTGATGATGGTGAGCTATACGAGATTACTATAATCATAATTATGTATATATGGGACATTGCATGTTGAGTCCTCTTGACATTTTGTGCAGTGTACTGTGTAAATAATGACATATTGTCAGCACCTTCAGTATTCCTCAGTTGCTGTATTGGCTCATCTAAACTGTAAATGTGATCAGAATGTGTCAGAACTGTGTCAGATCACAAACTCTATGCATATCTGAATCAATATAGTAAGAAAAAACTTAATTCATGGTTCAAAAGCAAGGTTCAAAAATTGTGAGTGGCTCCAACATTTGTTTTATCACCATGTGACCCTGGTCAACATTTTTGGATTTTATTAGGTTTTTCAACATGGAAATGTTGGAATTTGTTTACACTGGCTATTACAATTCGTTTTTCGGTTCTGATTTCAATAGTCAAGTTATGAAATGTTGATGCTGTACATTACACAGGGCAATTTGTGAAATAGACTCTAAACCAAAAAGTCATCTTTGATCTCTCGTGTAAAGTCATAAATAGGAAAATATAAATATATCATGAAAAACAAACAACTTTTAAAAAGAATGTAATTAATTGAGAAAACTCACCTGACCTTATCAGAGGCTGGAGAAGTAATCAGATCTTCTACTCCAGCAAATTAGATGTACCCGAGTGTAGGAATACTCTGTTAAAAGTAAAAGTCCTGCATTCAAAATGTTACTTAAGTAAAAGTACAAAAGTATTGGCATCACAATATACGTAAAGTACCAAAAGTAAAATACTCATTGTGCAGATCGGTCCATCTCAGAACACCATACTGTATTATGTATTTTGATTATAATTATTGATGCATTAAAGTGTTATCAAAGCTGGTAAACGTGCCGCTAGTTTTAATGACTTGAATTTACTCCAGCTGTAACTAAAGTCTAAGTTTATTTTATTTAATGTTGATTATATTTCACATCATTAAATCCACATCTGTAAAGTAACTAAAGGTACTCCATAATGTAGTGGAGTAAAAGTACAAGATTTACCTCTGAATTGTAGTGGAATAGAAGTACAACGTAGCATAACATGAAAATACTCAAGTAAAGTACAAGTATCTCAGATTGTACTTTAGTAAATGTAGTTAGTTACTTTACACCTCTGGACGTTACGGAAAAGGCTTACATCTAAAGGCCACTTGATCAGCCTCGTGTTTGTTAGAGCATATTCCATAAAACTAATATATCCATTGTAGACAAAAGATGCAGACTCTTTATATCCTAAATGAGTCCTCAGTAGATAAAGGTCATAAACTCATGTGCTTATGACTCAGGAAGAGGGAAGTGAAGACAATTGTGTCTACAGGTTGCTCAGCATGTGGCTCAGATGATTTCATCAAAAGTAATGATAAGGAACAGCAGGACTGAGCATGTAGATGCAGTCACACAGTGTTACTGTGGCAACCCCCTGCAGTGTAGTCGTATCGTGCGGTTTTCTACAAGTGCTGTTGGGAAAAACATAAGATCGTACGCCTTCTTTGCACTGGCTCCCTTTAAGATCCAAAACAGAATTAAAAACCCTTCTCCTCGCCTACAAAGCAATAAGCATGGATCTTATCTTAAAGGGCTCATTAACCCAAAAGAGCACTGCTTTTATTGAATCCAGGGTTACTTAGGGTTCCTCCAAAAGTAAAGTAGAAGCCAGAGCCTTCAGCTATCAGTCTCCTCTCCCTCTCAACATTAAAGAGAAGCTTCAGACTTTACCATATGATAAGGCTTATAGTTTGGCTCAGGCTTGCATTGGACCAGCCCTGGTATAACATTACATTCCTTATAAAAATGACAACAAAGAGACCCAATAAAAGGACAAAATGGCAACAGAAAAACATTTAACAACCACAATGAGAGATGCATAACTACAAAAAAGCACAATACAACAACAGAAAGAGTTTAAACAACCGTCTGCGTGTTTTGCTCATAGTAGGAGTCCCACACTAGTCTCCCAACCCGCTCAAGTCTGTATGCAGTCATGTTCAATAAATGCATGGTACTACCTTGGCAATCAAAGCTTTTTTTCTTCACGCCAACTGCGTCATTGTTCTTATATTTCTACAGTTGTTATGGCAATCATTGTTTTTCTGTGCATTTCTCTCTCTTTCATGGCCACCCACTCTTTGTTCAAGGTTCCTTCCTGTTCACCGGGAGTATTTTATGTTTGCCTCCCGCACTTCCTGCTCCTTGGGAATTCTATATTGGCAGATTGATATTATAATTTATGATATGATTGGCTCTATTTGACTAAAAATGGACTTGTCATGCATGCACTAAGGTTTTGATTTAGCTCAGAAAACATAATTTTAACGTTTCTGATTTACCCCCACAGGGTGCAATAATCCATCAACTTTAATCTGAGCCAGTAAATAAATCATTACTCCATTATGAGGCTGTATCGAGAGCTTCACTGGCATGAATATGAAGAAGCACAATCAACATAATAGCATCAACCTTATTTGCAATAAAACCCTGTGAATTGAACATTTCCCTAGAATGAGTGTTGATTAGCAGGTCAGGTAAAAGCGGCAGAATTTCTGATGGGCAGCAAAAATGTGATTATTGGTATTTATCCAATATATAAACAAATAGTGCGAACAAACAGAGACAGCAGTGTTTTGAGTGTTAATGTTTTGCTGCTCATTCAGGGTTTCACAATGAATCAATTTGTTTAAAAATGTAGGAAAAGCTATTCAGTTCAGTTTTTAAATTTAGAATAAACGTTGATCCATTATTCATTCTGTTTAATATTTGATGTATGTTTACAGGGGAAGAACCTCTGAGATGAACACAGATGATGAAATATTACCAATAAACTAAGAGCGCCATCTTCAGTCTGTGATGTAGCACTGCACTTGTGCTTTAAAAACAGATGCTCTCTATGTAGCATTCTGTGATTGTTGCTAAATGATGATTTAACCCTTAGATGCACGAGTGACTTGACCCACTCTTCCATAAGTGGGTCAAAAAGGACCCGTATAGGATAATGTGTGTTTTTATGCCTTTGTCATTTTGGTTGAGAAAAATCACTTTTATAATATTTTAGTATTATATGTTGGTTCACACTAGAACTATTTTATATGTAATTTTTCACTATTTATAATTTTAGAAATTTTTTTTACATTTTGAAAAAAAAAACGTTTAACCCATAGGGTTCCATAGAAAATACATGCGGGTCATGTTTGACCCACTTATCGAAGCTTGGGGTAGTAATACAAAAACTACAATTTCTTAAAATGTAAATTTAAAATTGCATGATATCCAAAACATGTTTTTTGAGGAATAGCTGGTATATGAAATGATACAAAAATGTAATTACAAAGATACTTCAGTAAAACCACCTCACCGGGTCAAAAAAGACCCACTTATGCATAATAAGGGTTAAAAAAATACATTCTATTAAATAACGATGCAAGTTATCTTCCGACCAATGACGACGCAGGATTGGGTCAATCACACTCAGAAGTCAGGCTCTGGTTTATTGCATGTATTTATTGTCCGGGTACCTTTTTAAACGGTAACCATGCTATGAACAGAAACAGGTCCAGGGGGGTGAGTGGGCTGCTGGCTGATGACAAAGTTGTACATATTTACAGAGAAAAAGGTGGAAATGTGACAAACATTAAACAAGAAATACAAATAAATCCCAGTATTTATGCCCCCACATGTGTGAAAGTCACACAGCAGATGTCATTAGCATAGTAGTAAAGGCACTCTGACATTTATTATATACATTAATTGATTTTAAATAATAACCTTTGGGGCTTTCACAGTAAGAAACTTCACAGATTTTATATTTAAAAAAAAAAAAAAGATCAAGATAATACTTATAGTATTACATTTGATTTTGTACTCAATAGTGGATCATTTAACAACGCAGTATATATTAAACTGATTTAAGTAAAGAATCTAAAAAAAAAGGCAGCATTGATAAACAGCTTCTGAATAAACAAGATCGTCCATACACTGTGCAACGACACACACGCACACACACACACTCTGGTTTCAAGGTCCAGCATCTGTAGTTAAAGGCTTTCATTACAGCAAAATTACGAAATCCATGGAGACCTTGAAACTAAATGTCATGCTGCTTTCCAGATTGATTTTTTGTCCAATTTCAGTTGCTATTCCAGTGCAAACGTTTCACTTATGGTGCCAAATAGCAAGGACAGGAAATATATATTATGCTGAGACATTTTTCAGCAATGATTATGATTTGTCCCTTGTAACAAGTAGAATCAGGAAATACACTCATTTCATTGAAAAAAAAAAAACATTCTGAATCTTCATGCAAACGCTTAAATAAAACATAACAACTAAGTGCCGCCACAAAATGAAGGGGTAATATCAATGTGAGAATTCAAGAGCGTGCCTATGGTAACTACCATCTACTTTTTTCTCTTTGGTGTAACCTGATCTATCAACAGTAGATCATTTGCACAAAACAATTCATTACTGCTAGGCACACGATAGCCGCGATTAGCTAGAGAAGGCTACAGATGAGAGATCAGCCCCTTCTGAACTGATACATACACAAAGCAGTGATTAAAAGAGGGTTAGTCTCTGGGATCTCATAAATAAACACACACATGGAGCTAAAACTAATAAATACTTGATGTAAACACAATAAACGCAACATTTCAGTGTCTATTAGCACTCCTATACACCTACTGTAAAAAGGTAGCACTTATAGTAGTTAAATATGCCTTTATGTGACAACTAGATCTAGGTTTGATAGTATTCTGATGACATTCACTGGCCTCTCATTCAAACGCTGTGATATGACCTGTTGGACATGTTCAAGGAGGCGGGACCTCCAGTGTGTGTGGATTGGAACGCTTCCCTTTCATGAACACACACCGACCTCCAAAGCTGAGGTGAGTTCTTTAGAAAATTCAATGTTTAACTGGAAATAATTTAAAGAAAACTAGAAAATGTACCTCCAAATATTCATTGGCACTTACTATTCATTTTAATTCGTAAAAAAGGTAGTATTTCTTATTCACAATCTTCAATTAGAATTTTAGAAAAGATGGTCTCAACCCAATTGAAATTCAGTCTGATTAATGAACAGAGTATAATCAAAACACATTTAAAATTGGGAAAACAGGCTTCTAAAAACCTAAATGTCTTAATGTGTAGCCTCAACTTGTTTTTAATATTATTATAAATTATTAAAGTAAAGGGCCAGTGTCGTTTTGGATCAGGGGAACTAACCTGCATAGATATTCACCTACTTTCCCCCTTTTCCCACAGTATTATTGCATTGCTGTGTTCATTTGTTAGGCAATTCTCGTACAACTTCAATTTAGTTGGGGTAAACAACAGTGCCGCACATGTACATAAACATAGCTAATGTCTACAATCCTATGGAGCATACAACAAGGAACCAGCAGAATGCAAACAACCTGGGCAGAATGCAAGCCAATAAAACAATAAATTACAACTCTGTGGTGGTGTCACGGATAAAAACACTACTCACAGCTTTAAAAGTGATCATAAATGCTCTCCTGCAGTGCCATGACTTACATTAATCTTGTTAAAGTACTATTTTAGGACCTAGGGCTGGATTGCAGTGCACTCTACAGGGGTTTCCATTTCTCTGGCCACGTGTAGGTGCTTTAGAAATTCACGGTGCAGCCTACCTTGAGACATATTCAGTGGTGTACAATACAATGAAAGTGCAGATTGAATGAAAATAAGTATTATTAAAGTGAAGTATTAAACGCACAACATGAATAAAACAACAAAAAGTCATCCCAAAAAAGGATTTGATCGTCTTCAACAGGGGCCACACTCCTGCTTCAATAGGATTGAAAATGAGCATTTTAAATACTTAAATAGATATAAAATGTTGTTATCTTTTAACACAAACTGTACACATCTGGTACCAATACATATAAAAATGACAAGTGTGGTTACTTTAGAAAGGGCAACCTCTGATACGTCATATCAAAAATATGTTGCTTTAGTAGCACTTTTGTTCTTCTTCATCTAGTAAACTTTACAATGCTACATTACACTCCGACGAAGTGAATGAGGTCTTTTTTCTTTTTCTTCTAGTCCAACGTCACTGCAGTGGTGCTCCCCAAGCCTCAAAACTGCACTGCTCTTCAACTCTGCATCCACTTCCTGTGTCACTTTCTTCTCATGGTCCTTCGATCCCAAAACACTTCCTCTTCACCCTCCAATTGTTCCTCATCCTTCCTCTTCGACGTGAACGTCAATCAATTTTTTCCACTTTCCCGATGATCTTCTCCTCAAAGATGGGCAGGATAGCGTCATCTTCACGTACCTCTTCAAACACCACCCCACAGTCAAACTCGTCGCTCACCTTCTTGAAATAATACCTGAAAGAAGACGGGGAACAAAGTTCTCCAGGTTAACAGCTGTGACTGCTACTAACCATGTGTGAGGGGCGTAATGTGCGGAGGTCATTTAGTATATCAATGTTCCTGTTTTCTTTGCAGTATTTATTGGGTTGATATATTCAGATAAGAAGGATCAAATAAATTAACTCAAATGCACCGTGTGTGTGTGTGTGTGTCCTCGATGCTTGTTCCGACACATTGAGAGTCCTTAACGAAGCTGTTTTTGCCACTGGCGGGCGGACCTCTCCGCCTGTGCAGTGCGCCGTGACTCTCATACGCTTTTGTGTACAATTGTAATTTCAAGGTTCCTTTTATATGAAGCACAATTTACCATGCTGTAATAACAACGTTATTTATCAGCCTTTAAAACTGAAACAATAAATAATAATAATATTAATAATCATAATATATCATATATGTGCGACGATTAGTCGACTAATCGCCAGAATTGACGACTATTGGTCCACTAGAAACATCTTTAGTTAAGGGCAGCACTACAGAACAGTCCTTCCAGAGTTATACATTTGATGGCATTGACTTAAAGATGATCACAAACCTTTTATATTTTTTGTAAAAATTGTCTTTTTTGTAAAAAGGAGAAACGGTATATAGGAAGTAGATGTAGCCACCATGACGCCACACATTGGATTATACTAATGTTTTTAAGACTTGAGTTTGGCCTTCACCATCTTAGTTTTGATTGTTATAAAATATTATTTATTTAAAAATGGAAAACGCAATGAGAGCCAAACCTGACAACACTGTCAGCAACAGACAACACTTTTATATAAATCATTTTGATGTTAGAATTCATATTCTTTCCCATATACATCCCTTATATAACTGTAGCTCTAAGACTGATTTAAAGAGCAACTTCCAGGTTAAAGACACCTGTGAATAAATGTGTAGGAAAATGATGAATACACTAGATTTTCAAAAACATATACAGAAATATACACTACAGTGACATCTGGCGTTGTTTTTGTAAGAAATGTTCACTTCCGCATAAAAAAAGCCTCGGCACGTGACCTCCCGCGTGTGACGTAACACGGGGGACACAAGGGGGAGAGCGGCCGGTGTAACGCATTAATAAACATGGATCCCAATGCTAGTTTCGACACAGAAGACACAGAAGAAGTTGAACATGAATATTCAAATGCATATCACGGACCACAACCTTATAATTATGAGCCTGCTAGGCGTCCAAGAGACCAGGAGCAGCCAAGGATTAGAAGAAATAACGGCCATCGGAGAGAAATTGAGCTGTGGTGTGAGGAGAACCAGTGGAGAACTGGGCAGCTATCTTGGTGAGTGACCGGCGTTAGCTACAGAATGTTAGCTAACGTCACATCACAACATTGTGAAGTTAGCTATCATATATCAGGCTATAACTAAAGTAGCATTGATAATATAGTAACGTTACTGGCAGGACTGTTGATACTGATCCATAACAGAAACTAATGCGCAAGTATCAGCCGTATCTCGCGTTACCTAATGCAACTCCACACTACGGTGCTGTGTACCGGAGGGGAGACGCGAGATACGGCTGATACTTGACGCGAGATACGGCTGATACTCGACGATTCGACGGAGAAAGGTTGTGGAGCCTCCGTTGATATGCCGTTGTAAATGGCTTGATGGAAAGCAGGTGTGTAGTCGGGGAGGGTGCACAGCTGATTGCAGCAGGTGAGTGGAGGTTGAGCCGGGAGCCAGGAGTGACAGCCACCACGCACACACAAACAACACAGACAGGGGGAAACAAACAAACACAAAGGAGACGGCTGGAGCAGTACAGCNGTTTCGGCCAAAAATTTCCCATTCGGTGCACCCCTAACAGAAACTAATGCGCAAGTATCAGCCGTATCTCACGTTACCTAATGCAAATGACCGAAGGGGAGATGCGAGATACGGCTGATACTTGACGATCTGGCGGAGAAAGGTTGTGGAGCCTCCGTTGATATGTCGTTGTAAATGGCTTGATGGAAAGCAGGTGTGTAGTCGGGGAGGGTGCACAGCTGATTGCAGCAGGTGAGTGGAGGTTGAGCCGGGAGCCAGGAGTGACAGCCACCACGCACAGACAAACAACACAGACAGGGGGAAACAAACAAACACAAAGGAGACGGCTGGAGCAGTACAGCCACCACAGCGTTACCTAATGCAACTCCACACTATGTCTTACCGGAGGGGAGAGAAAGAGAGAGCAGCGAAGGGGGGGGAGAGAGATGTAATACGGTTTCCTGATAAAGCTGAGGAAAGTATGTGCTGAAGGGAGGTGGATGCACAACGCATCCAGGAACGAACGCTAGCTCCGGTCCTTTTCCCGTGAGGGAAACTGTGGACTCAATGTCCTGACAGGCTGGTATTTGTGCAACCTGCACAAACACAATACTGCACCATGATTACAAATGGTGAAATACAATGTAAAACTACCAAAAAATACCAGCTCACTAAAACACAACCGCTCAACTCAACGCAACTACTAACTATACCCACGGTCAGAGACCGGAGATGTTTACCCTTTGTGTTGTAATATGACGCGTTTGATGTATGACCTTAAAAAAAAGCCGTTTTTAAGAGCAGAGCTCAAAATTGCTTCTTTCCCTCTGAATTCCTGCCCTTATGTCTCGTAAAACATATGAAATCCTACATTCACTTTTTTTAATTGTAATTTTCAAGCAAGTTTAAGCACAAATGTAGAAAAAAAAAAAACCTGCAAGATGCTCTTTAAGAACTATTGGTGTCTCAAAGCACGTCGTGTTATATTTATGTTATGCCATTTTAATTAAGTCTTACTTACAAAACAGTTGTGTTTAATGTCTCAAGCTATATCCACAGGTATCAAACTGCAGTGATTAAATCTCACCTGTAGTTTCCTTTCTTCGTCAGCAGTTCTTTGAACTGGCCCAGTGTGACCACCCTCCCTTTGACAGACGTCCTGTAGGGTATCAGCTCCTCACAGAAGTAATACGCCACAGTCGTGTTCTCACAGGGATGCTTCTTAGTGGCTTTGTGTCTGCACATGGAAATAAATAGGAGCATATTTAGAAAATATCATATTATTTAAGTCCACACTTCAAATGAATGGAGAACAATTATTTTTGAAATAAAAAGGACCCTAGCAAATTGTGTTGAGTCACGATCATTTCCTGACAAGCACTTTAGTTAGTTCTTCACTTTCTGATTCGTGTACCTAATTTAAAAAGGCTGTGGTGATTCCAAAAGCTGCTTCTTTAAAGATCAAACTTTCTAATCAATATGTGCAATTCCAGTTAGTGAGTGAGGAGAGAAACAATGTGGGCTAACATCCTGTAGCTTTCTGCTTCAGCAAATGTCGTCCAATAATCCGTTCGGAGGGAAACAACACTGAGGGCTCTCTAAGGACAGCTTATAATTGCAGAACACAGAAATGATAAGTTAAACAAGAAGCAAACAATCACTGAAACAACAGGATGTTCAGGTGAAAAGGACACATCAGCCAAAGTGGAGGTAGAAAAGAAAAGAAAACATTTCACACTGACAAATGTTGTTGTTTTCTATTTTGTGAGAAAAACAATCAGATGAAAAGTGTTCACAATAAAGTGTGCTTTAATAGAGGTGTCTCAACCACAGACAGGCAGACGGCAGTGGAGTGATGGTGTCCTCTGGTGTTCATGGCTTCCTGAGTGGGTGTGGCATGCAGCACAACAACAGTAATCTCATCCTTCATAATCTCAGATGTTTTTGCCCGATATCTTTTGTACAAACTTGAACAACCACATAACAGCCTCTGTTTTTGTCCCTGGGATGTAGCTAACATTGCAGGGACATTAATAGTTATATGATCAGTTGTTATAAGAACCAAGCTTCTCTCTTTTTTCACAAAACTCCAGGCGTATGAAAGTGATGCTTTCAGAACAATAACAAATATATAAGAAAGAGGGAATAAGGACCTCTTTCACTTCCTAACACTAGCTCAAAGTAGCCTATGATAACAAATGAAAACTACAGTATCAAAGCAATACTTAAATACAAATAAAATACATTTATTGTATTGTTTATCCCCTTGTGTTCCTTGAACTGTTATATCATGTTTTTATGCTGCATGATTGAAAAAGGTTTGACATGAATTTAATTTCTTGTTCTCTGTTTTCAATTTGGGATATGTGCCATTTGACGCCCTTATTCAGCTCGGGACGCCCTGAACGCGAGCCGAGGGCGTCCAAAAATATTAATAATTCGAGAGTTTTTATCGCTTGAAATGACGAAAAGGAAAAAGGACAAGGACATCTCTCTGTTGGAGGGGCAAAGGAGTCTGGTGGGATTCTTTTCGGAGTATTGAAGATTGTTTCCCCGACAACGAAGGTGCCTGCTACAGGACAACACGGAACGTGCCCGATTTGGACGTGCTGAGCGGGGGGTGCTAGTGGAGCACGCGCGTGAGCTGCGAGCACCAGATCCTCGCAGCGGAGAAACTGAGGCTCCGTGGTAAACTGTGGTAACATGAAGAGCTGTTTGGAAGCCGAAAAAGCCGGAGCTCAGAGAGCCGAGCCAAATGATCCGGCTCACTAACATAAAAAGACAGTATCTATAAGGGACGGCTCAAGTCAAAATCTCGGGGTGGACGCCCTCTCAGCCCTGGTCTGGCGGAAACACTGCCTTATATTATAAGTGTGTGTCTTTTTGCAAATATCCACTTATTGAGTGAGGAGAAAAACCATGTGGACTAACATCCTCTAGCTTTCTACTTCAGCAAATGTCCTCCAATAATCCATTCTGAGGGAAACAACACAATTCTCTTCCTGTCCATTATCCCTTGCTGCTCTGAACCCCAGTGCAACATCATCTGCCTTGCACAGTGTCCCTGCTTCCCTCCATGTGTTAAGCACCCACAGAGAGGCCAGTAACACATCAAACAGAAAGGGCAGACTCTCGCCCCGATACTCCTGCCTCTGGAAGAACACCAAAATCTGTTCTACCTCCTCTCTGGTGCTTATGGGAAATAAGCAGCATGGGATCTGAGTTTTCTACCATCAAGTGTGATCCGAGATATTAAAGACAGAGCGGAGGAATAATTCAGTTTCTCTAAAGGACACTGAAAAAAACATTTCCTTACAGATGCTAATAGATGGATTTTAACCTCTGTAAATCTAAATCAACGAACAAAACAAACAACCAACTCAAGGATAGAGTATGGGACACAACATGATGACATCACATAACAGCACACAGAGGATTAGGGTAGCTGATTTCTAAACATCTCTTTTTGTAGCTCTACAAAAGCACACACTCCTGGGTGATTCACTAACAGTGATGGGAACGGCAGGTGATGACCCATGAGGGGGTGGGGGATTGTGGGAAAAGGACGTACTCTGGCTGGGAGAGCTCGCTGTCAGAGACGGCGGGCACCACGCTGAGCGGGGGGAACAGAGCCGGCCTGACGGCGGTGCGGCCCCTCTGGATCACCTCCATCACATACCTGGGGACCAAACAACCAGGAGTTAGACACAGACCGGTCTCAAGAGCATAACGGCTAGAGAGGGTAACTTTCATTTGGCTAAAAGAAAAGAAGGATAGATACATCCCCCTTCCTCTGTTGAAAAGCGGACAGTAATAACGGGACATGTGCGTCCACTGACCTTTGCTTGGGTTGGACAGTTCCTGACTGAATCTTCTCCTCCTCAAGCCGCCTGCACACCTCCTCCAGCTGGATGAGGGGGCTGGGAGCGGGGTTTGGGGGCATGGTGGGGTCCTGGATGAAAGGGTGGGACGGCTGTACATTGTTCCGCTGCTGGGCCTCATGGCCTGACGTCCTCTTGGACCCAGTGGTACTCCTGAAATATAAAGATATGACTCTTTGAATAATCAAAAGCCTACGTTAAAGCTTACTATTAACTAGAGATATCAGTCTAATCCCAACCCAAATCGCCCAAGGACACTGCAGTGGGTGCATCTTTACTGCGAACAACTCTTAAAGGGGCCCTATTACGCTTTTTGGGGGTTATCCCTTTCCTGTAGTGTGATATATAGGGTTTTGTGCTTGGTCTGCAATGGCTGAAATCCCAAAGTTCCCTCCAGAGGGAGTTTCTCACCCAAACACTGTGTCGTTGACAGAAACTGCTTTGAAGCGTGGCACAGATAAAGACAGAAAAAACAGATTTTTGTACATAATGTGTATATAGGCCTATATATATATTTGTATTATATTTATAACAACACTTTTGCCTTATCAGAATGAAATCCCATGTACATTATTTAAGCTTTTAAATGTTTTGTTGTGCCTACTGTTGACAGAACTTGAGAAATTAGAAAAAAAGCCTATGGATACACCTGTTATTTGTTCATAAAATGTGTATATAGGTTCATGCTACCTCAATCAAACTTTCACATTATCATAGTGACATCCCATGTATATGTTTCCAGCTTTCAAACGGTTTCGTTGTGTATGTTTGTGTTACCTATATGAAAAATAATATCATTTTCAAAATCTGTTTATACGTTTTTTTGTGATTTTGGGTCCAAAATGTTCATATAGTATCTCAAAATGAAAGAAATAACTATCAGGTTATATAGGTGAGGTTGTCCTTAAAAAAAAAGATACCAAACATTGACATGCCGAAGATTTCTTAATGGGGTTTAGTAAGACAAATCAAAAGTATGCGAAAACGGCCAAATTAGCCCAGGACTCCAAAGGGTTAAAGACTGGAAACATGGCACAAAATACAAATATGAAAAATGAGCATAATTGGGCCCCTTTAACAAAAAGGAGGTGGCACTATGTTAAGTGTCCTCACTGACCCGTATGGGCTCCTCTTATATTGAACCATTTCCTTCTGTCCTTCCATCAGCCACAAGAGGATCTTCTGATTTTTCTCCATCTCCTCTGGAGGCGCTGGCCCGTCATAAGGCCGCACTTCGTCACCCTTCTTCAACGCCCTTTTACACTGTGGGCCACCTTTGCTACTGAAAAATAAACAACTTGTTAGTGGCAAAAAAAGGCAATTTGGGAGCATTACCAAAAAAGAGGAAAGTATTTCTTACCTATACCCTGTGTGATCCACGGGGTTGGATCCCATGCCGTCTGCGTAGCTGCGAGACTTGGAACCATAATGCCCCGTCTCTGCGCCCCAGGGGAGGTTGCCATGGACGCGCATGGCCGCCTCAGCCTCCACCTGCTCCCTGGGCTTCCCGACGGCAGCGTGGTGGATGTGGTGCATGTGTTTGTGGTGGTACAGGTGGTCTCCCTTGACGCCGTGCCTGGACGGATGTTTCCCCTGCGCCATTCCAAGTCCCGCCCCTTTTCCCCCTGGGACACCGTCCGGTGAGCGTGACTTGGGAGAGTGGCGTCCTGTGCCGGGGGACTGGCAGCCGGGGGTCTTCATGACCCGCTGCACGTGGTCGTCCAGGATGCTCTCTGGGTTCTCCTCGTGAGCGTCTCTCAGAATAAGACCACTGTAGGTGTTGTCGGCATAGCGTGAGTTGTAGTTCTGCGGATAAGCACCAGGGGGGAACCTGTGACTGGATGACGCTGCAGCTGTGGACATCACTTCATCTCCTTCTTCTTCCTTTAGAACAAAAAACAAAACATTCATAATTTAGCATAAAATAAAAGCAAATTAAAAACCTATCTTTTTAATATGGCTTTTAATTTGGGTTACATTTCAATTCTCACTGGTATCATAGTCCATGTTTTATTGTGTTTCGCTTTTATTTTACATTTTTAATTTTTTAAATTTTTTAATTTTAACCTATTAGATGTTTTATCTTGTCCTGTATTTATTTTAATATTGTTGTCATGTTTTATTTGTTTTCTTGTTCTGTAAAGCGCTTTGTGCATGAAATGGTACTATACAAATAAAGTGTATTATTATTATTATTATTATTTAGATGAAAAAACAAATCCAGGTTTTAAAGATCCATTATTAATATTTGAAGCATATCATGATACAACTAAGACATAGAAAATATATCTATGTGCATTTCATCCTGTTAACAGCTTATTTTCAAACACATTTGACACAAAGGAAGATTTTTTTTCTCAGGGTTCATTTGCTGTACTTATATCCGCCTGTAGATGGCAGATGTAACATGTGTCTTCTCCTTCTCACTGCAGAGGTTTGGAGACAAACTAAGAATTACCCCAGTATCAGTCAGATGGCAGGGTCTCTGCCTGTATGCAGCACATGTGTGTTGTTTCATGTAAGGCAAGTGCAACCGGTACAGCTTCAGTGACTGATCCCATTCTGACAGGATCTGCCTATCGCTGCAGGCTGAACTGTAGCTTTGATATTAGCAGTCACTACAGGGAATGGAAGATATGCAGCGATGGAGGAAAAACAACAGTGGATAAAAAGGAATGCAGGCATCTAAAACTGGATTTTAAGGACTGAATTACCTCATATCCGACACTGCTGTTACATACTCTCATTGTTTAAACGTATATGTTTATTTCAGCTTAACTTATGTGAATGTTATAGTACTGTATTGTTTCAAATCATACCGTATTGTACTGCAGTGCTTGCAATAACATTGTATTGATAACATCAGGCAATTCATTTGTAAAAAACCTGCCCATGGGCTAAAGATGGAAATGAGCTCATTAGCTAGTTCTGGCACATTGATTGATTCAGAAACTGACATGTTCATTAATGTGCACTATTCCTGGTAACTTAATACAAAAATAATTACTTCAACCATTTCTATCTACAACAAAAATTAAGTTGGAAAAAAATCCTAAAGCAAATATGTTCTTACTGGAGCTACACAGTTTGTTGTATCGCTATATCATTGTCTTTCATTTTAAACAAACAAATAGAACACACAGAATAAATAACAAAATCAGCAAATTGGCAAAAACCAACTGAGTTTGCTTTTTCCTTGAGCTCACCATCCACTTGCAGTAACTGTATCAAAGGGAACAGAAAAGGCTTTCTAACTAATCGTAACTTCCCTATACCTACTTGTTTCCTACATTCAGCAATACTGTTAAATATGCTCTATGCAGCTGAAATAGCTTGGCCTGTTTTCCATAAGGGCTGCGTCTCTACAGTATACCACAAGATCTGTATGGTGAGCCCACTGGAAGTCATTCATAAAATCAAGACATCTTCATTTGAGCATACTTTTCAAGCTGCTGCCTGACTTTGAGACGAGGGAACAGGAAGTGGTCAAATGCTAACTGCTTTACGTGTTTAAAGACTTATTCCTTAACAGAGGAAATAAAAAGGCTAGAAGATGAGACTCGATGAAATCATGTGGATCTTTTCCTCACAGCAATATAATGATTTATTTTAAAACCAGGAGTCCTTTATGCTTTTTAATGATATACATTTTATTACCTCCGATATTATGGATATAAAGCTAAGCTTAAATGTCCTTTTCTAGAAGCTCACTTGAGCATCTCTTGATGAAGACAGTTATTTCATGCTTGCCTCCAGGTTTAAGAAAGCAAACCTCGAGCTGTGTGATGGCTGCTTCTCTCCTTTCCAGGGCCAACTGTCCGCCTTGAGACTAAGTATTTGGGTTCGTGTACTGAGGGAGGTTTTGTTTGTGGTTGCAGAAACCATTTCATCCCCGTTCAAGTGACATCAAAGAGGCGGCACGCTGTTCCAGGCTTACAAACGGCCGAGTGTGCAGGTGCTCCGTCTGATTCATCGCTAAGCCAGATCGCTGACAGGCCAAGGATGGAAATCTCTAAGTGATTCATAATGTTGTTTTTGTTCCACATTCAAAAGGCTGGCCTCATTAATTTCATTAAGGATGGACGGATTTAAGTCTCCTTTGTTACTGGAAACTTTAAGCCCAACGGACAAACACACAACTTGCTTTCTGGCTCAGAAAAGAGCTTTGATGGTTCTTTCACAAATTACTGATACTAATAGTCTGCTTTTTAATACCATATTATTAGTCATCATTTGCTCTTTTATTAAAGTGAATCAAAAAGGTATGAAAGTAAAAAAAGGTCCTTTCATATCAACATTTGTGGAATGAGGATTAAACACATGATCCTCAAACCCAGCTCAGACCAAGAATGTGAGAACACAAAACTATAGCAGGATTTGTTTCAATGTTTAAAATAAAACATTGCCAAAACAATACAAACTCATCTGGAGCCAAGTTTATTGCACAATTGACTGATGAGTTGATTGAAAAAAAAAAAGTGGCCCTATTTTTCTTTTGGGAGTTTTCTCTTTCCTGCAGTGGGTTATTTCGTTTATTTTGCATGTACAGTGGGGCAAAAAAGTATTTAGTCAGTCAAGTTCTCCCACTTAAAAAGATGAGGCCTGTAATTTTCATCCTAGGTATACCTCAACTATGAGAGACAAAATGAGAAAAAACAAATCCAGAAAATCACATTGTCTGATTTTTAAAGAATTTATTTGCAAATTATGGTGGAAAATAAGTATTTGGTCACCTACAAACAAACAAGATTTCTGGCTCTCACAGACCTGTAACTTCTTCTTTAAGAGCCTCCTCTGTCCTCCACTTGTTAACTGTATTAATGGCACCTGTTTGAACTCGTTATCAGTATAAAAGACACCTGTCCACAACCTCAAACAGTCACACTCCAAACTCCACTATGGCCAAGACCAAAGAGCTGTCAAAGGACACCAGAAACAAAATTGTAGACCAGCACCAGGCTGGGAAGACTGAATCTGCAATAGGTAAGCAGCTTGGTGTGAAGAAATCAACTGTGGGTGAAATTATTAGAAAATGGAAGACATACAAGACNTTCCGACCTCTATATAAGTGAGGGTCTGAGCTCTCTTAATTCTATCGTGTCAGCACCGGGCCCGGGTACAGGAGGGGTAATATCGTTCTTATTACATCCATATGAGCGTTGTGGTTCAACGGTTCAACCGATCTGAATCGCTTTCTGATTATTACAATAAACAGTATTTTTTATTTGTTTTATGTTGCATTTTTCGAGGAGCCTGTGACTTTAAAGAGCCTGTGACACGATTTCCCCCCATCATCCAAACCCATCAATTTGAGTAAATATTGTCCACTTGAAAACCGTTACTGAACTGATTTTGGATATTTGTACTTTGATAACCATTAATCTGCCCTTCAATGTTGACCATTTCCTGGATCTTCTCGGGGATTCTTCAAGTCCCGCCAAATTATGGGTGACGTCAATGCGGGCACAGCGCTCCAGCTGCACCGTTCAGGATCCCAGCATCTGCATGTAAACGCACGATGGCGCACACAGCAGCAAGCTCAGACAGCGATGACAGTTTAATTTTGAACGTGTCTGAGAGCTCATATGAGGCTGAAGGATCGGTTTATTTTGTATCTGTTAGAAATTTAAGAATTAGGTGCGTCAATATGGGCGATCATACGGTCATGTAGCCAGTGGTGGACTGGGACTAAAAATCAGCCCGGGACTCTCGACCGGCCCACTTCGGTACCACTAGTAAATTGTCAACGGGGGGAGTGGGGGATGTGCTAGTGACTTATCCGATAGGNATAAACAAAACAAAAAAGACGTATTGACCAGGGACCCTGCGGTCATGAGTTTTTCAGATAAATTCAGTGAGTGTGCTGTGGCTCAGCTGGAAAGCAATTGACTCATGACCGCAGGGTCCCTGGTCAATACGTCTTTTTTGTTTTGTTTATAAAAGCTACAGCTAAATTAGATAATGTAGTTAATAAATGTATTCTTTGATATGGTTTAGCCTTTCTCAGGCTACAACTAGTGATGTTACGTATTGCGCCGAGGAGTAATCCCCAAAGCTTTTTCTGAACCTTATATCGAGGCTTGTATCGTTTTGGGCCAGTGACGTTACCGATGACAAACGAAGCCTCGCTGCCTGTCAATACCACGTGACTGCTTCAGAAAGCAATTCAGATCGGTTGAACCATTGAACCACAACGCTCATATGGATGTATAATAAGAACAATATTACCCCTCCTGTACCCGGGCCCGGTGCTGACACGATAGAATTAAGAGAGCTCAGACCCTCACTTATATAGAGGTCGGAATATGTTTTAAGTATAAATAAATAAAAGTAGGAATAAAAACATCAATGAATAAATAAATGAATAAATACAGGAAAAAATAGGGTGCAGTGTTTTCAGATAAATTCAGTGAGTGTGCTGTGGCTCAGCTGGAAAGCAATTGACTCATGACCGCAGGGTCCCTGGTCAATACGTCTTTTTTTGTTTTGTTTATAAAAGCTACAGCTAAATTAGATAATGTAGTTAATAAATGTATTCTTTGATATGGTTTAGCCTTTCTCAGGCTACAACTAGTGATGTTACGTATTGCGCCGAGGAGTAATCCCCGAAGCTTTTTCTGAACCTTATATCGAGGCTTGTATCGTTTTGGGCCAGTGACGTCACCGATGACAAACGAAGCCTCGCTGCCTGTCGATACCACGTGACTGCTTCAGAAAGCGATTCAGATCGGTTGAACCGTTGAACCACAACGCTCATATGGATGTATAATAAGAACGATATTACCCCTCCTGTACCCGGGCCCGGTGCTGACACGATAGAATTAAGAGGGCTCAGACCCTCACTTATAGAGGTCGGAACATGTCATACGTATAAATAAATAAAAGCATAAATAAATGTAGGAACACAAAAATAAATGAATAAATACAGGACTAAATATAGTGCAGTGTTTTCAGAAAGTATTAGTGTACGTGCTGTGGCTCAGCCGGAAAGCAGTTGACTGTCAACCGCAAGGTCCCTGGTTCAACGACTGGTCAATAGGCCTACGTCTTTTTTTTTGTTTAAAAAAGTACAGCTAAATGAGATAATGTAGTTAATAAATGTATTCTTTGATATGGTTTAGCCTTTCTCAGGCTACAACATGGTTAAGTTTACGAATATTATTAAGGAATACAAATCCCTCTTTGCAATGTTTACCAGCCTCCTTAGGCTTTTCAATCACAATCATTAAAGTGGAATAAATACAATATTGTTAACATGAAAATATGATTTTATGTTTGTTGTTTAGAGTTATTCTAAGGCTTTACTCATTGGCAACTCGGTATGAGATAGAGCACACTTTTCAGATGTCCAATCTGCCTGTTTTACACACTTTGACCAATAGGGGGGTTTGTGTTCAAATGAAGCCCATGATGAAGCCTCATGAGATGAATCCTTTTGCGAACCAATTGGCTGGAAAGCTTCAAAGCTTCATAAGGCTTCATCTCGCCATCACTACAATTTAGCATCTTTTTATCAATGGTAAATTAGAGGTAGGTGAGGCAAAGGTCAGGTATGACACGGCCACTTACACAGCAGAACCGTCAACACATACTTTACAGATCTAACATTTGTAATATAAGACATCTCCTTTAATCAAAGTCCAATGTGGCAATAGTACTTGTATTGAAGTAAAGTATCTGAATAGCCTACTGTGTCTGCATACTGCTGATCAGTGTTTTCATTGTTGTAAAACGCTTTTGTAGCCAGCACTGTGCTCTGATTGGTCGTCCAGAGGTCACATGGTCATCCACAGCTAATCGGCTTCCAGTGGTGAGGAAACAGGACATTTAATCACCAACCATCTTCACATTCTTTCTGTCGCACCTCGCCCGGTTGGATTACTTATCGGTTTACGCCATATATTTGCTTAAAACCACGCTTTTAATGCGCCAGGCTCTTCTAAAATACTCTCAGTTTTTGGTGTGTGTGTTTCTGCAGACACACCCTCTGAAGTGAAGGAGCAGAAACCGAGCATTTTCTCACTGTTTTTTCCTGTTATCTGTTTTTTACTCTATATTGAAGTATGGCTTTCCCAGGATACGGAGCACCACCCGGGGGCATGGCGGTAAGAAAGCGTTACAATGTGATGTGTTATCGGGATTAAAGCAGAATATGTGCCCGCTGTCCAGGGACAGCCCGGAAGTGGCTCGAGTTGACAAAAATAGACGAAAATACCTGTTAATTTGACATTAAAGCTGTTGATGATGCTCCACCTGTTTTAAAGGTTATACCTGGTATCAGTTAACGGTGGGGGGAAAGTGCATACATAGATATATATATATATATATACTGTATATAGAATATGCTGTTGAGTAGCCTGCACTTAAAATAAAAGGCTTTTTTTTTTATTGCTTCCACATGTTAGCAATGGTGGAAGAAATACTACTAAAAGTCATGCAATCAAATATTTGTTTAAATTTATATTATTATTATTATTATTTTATATATACTACAAGGATATTAAAATACTACATTAAGTGCTCTTTAATTGCTTCCATATTTTAAAAATTGCTCCTTTATCACTAAAAGTCATGCAATCAAAAACAAAATTCCTATTATTAAAATTAATATTTATTGTTTTATTTTACTTTTACTCAAGTACAAGATCTGAGTACTTCTACTTTTACTCAAGTACAAGATCTGAGTACTTCTACTTTTACTCAAGAGCAAGATCCGAGTACTTTTACTGAAGTCTAAGTTTTACTAAGTCTAAACCTCGAGATTATTCAAAGGATAAGCAGTAAATATGAAATCATTGAATATGTTTTAAAAAAGGTAAATGACTCAAAGGCTGCACAAACTGACAAATTAGTCAACAGGAAAGATTTAAAATCATGATTACAGAAGAACGATGAACTTCCTGCACGTAGTTTCCTCATTTAAAGTTGCTTTATTTAACAGTCAGATGTTCAAACACTCTTTCTTTGAGGCATTGTGAGTCTCGAAAAGTTTCTCGTTAACCACCAGCGGAACAAGATCCCTTTCTTCAGTAAAAGCACTAATACCAAACTGTACAAATATAAACACTCCTTTTTGGACATTATTAACATATTCCCCAATATGCTGTTCACGTAAATCCAGAAACAATTCATGTAATTTTCAGACATTTCTTTGACATTTTCAGACTTTTTTTAAAAGAAAAACTGCCCCGTTTATTCCTCTGTGTGGCGATGCTTGTTCCAGCTGATTCAAGACGCTTTTCAAAAACGTTATTCAGCTTAAAAAGAGAGAAACATGGAGGTCTGTATTCTATAATGTGTCTTCAGGGGTTTCCACTTCAGAGCTAATGAGATAATAAGAAACCAATGAAGTGCTTCCTGATCCCCAACACTTTCTTCTCTCTGTGTCTTCGTCTCTGCAGCAGGATCCAATCTACGGATATTTCACAGCTGTAGCTGGACAGGTACCCCCCCCCACAGTGCCTCTGAACATCATTGGTATCATAGCAACCATTGAAGTTTCTCTTATCTCTGTCGATTGTTATTCACTGTGTATTTCTTTTCCTTATGAATTTACGACAGGACGGACAGATCTCAGCAGACGAGCTGCAGCGCTGCCTCACACAGTCCGGCATCGCTGGATCCTACAAACGTAAGAACATCTAATCTTTAATAATTATTATATCCATGCGGGACATTTCATCATAATGCTATTGTATACAGTTGCCCACATGTGGCATTGAAGGCATCATTCAGAATCAGAAACAGATTTATCAGCAGGTAGGTTGAGACGTACGAGGAATTTGACTTGGTGTCGTGGCGCACACATGAAAGTTAAACAAGAATTCAAAACACAGATAGAGAACTATTTTAAGAACACTATATTAACATAAAAGACGAATCCACCTTCCTGAACATTAGGGCTCTTCTTCGTGACTGAAAATCTTATATCATGGTTTATATAATAGTATATCGTGGCTATGGTTTTTATAACGATCTGTAAATTCAATTAATTAAATGTTTGAAGACATGAGGGAGCATTATAAAACATTCAGTTTGGAACACTCACGCTCCTATTGGCTGGCGCTTCAACACATTGCACCTGATTGGCTAAGGGGGGGGACATCTCTAAGCGGTTGACCAATCACAACAGAGCCGATGTCTGTCACTGACATTAATATATGTTTCTGTTGTCAGACAATTGCACTTTAATGGCATAGTGTTTTTTTTTTTAATTAAGACTTTAATATTTAAAAGGCAGAGTGTTAAATTATTGAATGCATGCGTTTCTTTTTCTTTTATACCTAAATATACAATCTATTCACTTTATCTTTGAAATGATCCTTACTTAGGGAGAGATGTCATGTTTAAAAAGTGATCTTATCAAAGTTCTCGCTGCCTACTAAGCTAACCCTTTTACATTGTCTCAGTGTTGGCATCGATGCACTTTCCCACTGAATTCTGGATCATATTTTTACATTTCTGAGTTTTGACTTTTCTTTCTGCAGCGTTCTGCCTGGAGACGTGCAGACTGATGATCACCATGCTGGATGTATCCTTCCTCAGGCCTTTCTCACACCCATAGCCGTGGGAACATGTTTCAAATGGGGGGTGCTGTGGGGATGACACCAGGGCTGGTTCTGACCAATGTGCTATAGGCAAGATTTTAGCTGGCAATGAAAAACCTCTACAAAAGACCAATACACTACAAAAAGAGAAACATATTGACATGGTGGACAGCTTATATAACAAGGCTTCAAATGTATTTAGTATTATAACATGTTTTAATTGGAGGGGTGGACTTCACAACCTCTAGGTGGGTCCGGGGGTGCCCCCCCGGGAAGATTTTTTTAACATTTTAAAGTCAAATGCTTCAATCTGGTGCACTTTGAGCGCCCAATTACTAGACTGATCTAGAGGGTACAACAGATCGGTTTGCATTTTATTAATCAAATAAGTATGTGAACATTTCCAATAACTTACCATAGCCAATAACAAATAAATGTAACTTATTTTATTTGTGTTTATATTTTTTTATATTTTTAAATCTCTCCAGTTTTAAACGATATTTTTGGTTTACTGTCCTATAGTATACATTGGAATGATTTCAAACCTGTTTTTATTTATTCTAATAATTATAAAAGGTGTGCCTTGGAAATATTTGTTTACATAAATTGTGATCAAAACGTTTGAGACTCACTGAGATAACTTAGAGATAGACTAAAGTGAACTATCCAAACCCTCAGAGTCCTTTAGCTCACTGAGCCTCTCAGAGCCTCAAAGTGACAGGACAGAACTCTCCCTCCACATTATTGTAGAAACAGCTTCTTATGTCCGTTAGCGCAGCAGAAGCTAACAACAATCCCCGCCGGTACCACGGTATCCCCGTGGTATCCCCGCGGTATCCCCGCGGTATCCCCTCTCTCTATCTCTCTCACTTTGGCTGTGAGCTGCGGGCGCCTGCTAAGCCAACATCCCCCACTTTCATCACTACAGCGCCCATCNTTATGTCCGTTAGCGCAGCAGAAGCTAACAACAATCCCCGCCGGTACCACTGTATCCCCGCGGTATCCCCTCTCTCTATCTCTCTCACTTTGGCTGTGAGCTGCGGGCGCCTGCTAAGCCAACATCCCCCACTTTCATCACTACAGCGCCCATCGTACAGGGCAAATGGAAAGTGTAACCGGGTTGAAAAGGGTG